CATATCAAAAAATTTTTGCACATATGTCATAATTCTTGACAGTTAAAAAACAACTTCTAAAATTTCAAAAAACTAAATTTTAAATATAACTTTAAAAATATTTGTCATGGGACCAGCAGTTAGCATAATGGCTACGTCACTGGACTCCCATGTAGTCGACCACATTTCGAGTCCCTGGACCCAACTCACGCGGGGTGCGTGGGTGTGCGTGCCCAAGATACCGAGAGGAGAATAGAAGACTTTATGAATGAAATGAAAATCAGCAAGCAACAGAAAAGAAAAAAAAATTGTTATGAGTTTGTTTTTGACTCTATAACAATAGAGACAGTATGGTTTTTAAATGTTTTTGAGAAAATATTTGCATGTCATCTACTCAAGCTGTTGAAAAACAAACACCCAGCATACAATTCTCACATGAACCTTCCCAATTCAGTTCTGCCTACCAAGTACTCTGTGGTTTACCATCTGCTAGCAAAGATCAGTCTCTTTTTCTACTTTCTAAGTCTTCCTCAAGGTAATCCTCTGGTTGTGGCTTCTCTTTTGCAATCTCTACTCATTACAATGCTAGGCTGGAAAAGTTCAGGCTATTTTATGATACAAACTCTTTCATATGACTTCTCTAATCCTCTCTGCCAGGCAAAACTGTTCATGGTGCCAGGCAATCTTTCCAAGACCTTCTGTTGGCTTTCTTGAGATCTACCTTAGTTTCATAGTTTTCTGGTAGTATCTTCAGATATGACATTCTAGTCAAAGCCCTGACAATAACGAGTATTTCCAATTTATGATTCAAGGCAACAGGTAATATTGAACTTATGCAAATAACCCTTCTGCTACTAAATAAGAATACTCACAAACATTTCTCATTTCCAGAGGGGTCAGGAAAGGAGAAAAGTTTTATGTTTCAATTTAAAACAAACAAAAAGCACTTTAACAGCTCAAAAGAATGCAAAATCCTTAAATCTGCAAAACAAAGCATAGCAAAAAAATTAGTAGTGTTTTAGTCAAAAGTCACAAAATTCTATTTCATCAGTTCAGTCTCAAGTAATTAATCTCTCTTCTGTTAAATGTGTAGTGTTACTGTAGTCCAATCTTTCCACTTAAATCCTGGAAGTTAACATTCAACATTATTATTGATATTTCTACATTTGTCCCTACCATTAAATTGGTCATTTTCTTGGTTGCCTTTTGTTCTCTTATTTCTGTCTGTGTGTCTTTAGTTTTCCTGACCAAAGTACTCCCTTCAGAACTTCTTGAAGAGCTGGTCTGGTGTTAGTAAATTCTTTCAGGTTTCATTTATTTGAGAATGTTCCTATTTTTTCTTCCCATATGAAGGATGATCTTACTGGGTATAGTATTCTTGGTTGAAATTATTTTTCATTTAACACTTTGAATATATGTTCCCATTCTTTCCTTGCTCACATTGTTTCCAATGAGAGGTCAGATGTTAACTTGATGGGATAACCTTTGTAAATAACCTTACGATTCTCTCTTACCAATTTTAGTATCTTGTCTTTGTGGATTTGGCCAGTCTGGCTATGAAATGACTTGGAGAAGATCTTTTTGGGTTGATTCTATTAGAGGTCCTTTGTATTTCTTAGGTCTGGATATTTGAATGCCTCCCTAGGTTTCGAAAGTTTTCTTCCAGGATTTCATGGAATAGATTATCAATTGCCCTTATCAGTTTCTTCACCTTCTGGGATACCAATTATCCAAATGTTAGGGTGCTTAATGGTATCTAGTATTTCTAGTATATTATGCTCATTTTTGGAGGTTACTTTTTCAGTCTTTTTGGTGATTTTTTGTAGGTCAAAGGTTTTGTCTTCAACATCTAAGATTCAGTCTTCTGCATGGTCTAATCTGCTTTTATGACTTTCAAGGGAGGTTTTTATTTCTTGTATTACACCTTTCATCTCTAACAGCTCCATTTGATTCTTTTTTATGGTGTATATTTCTTTTTTCTGTTTTTTTGGAGGGGGAGGAGAGGTTTTTGCTATAGGGCACATGAGCTCACCACAAAGACAGAGAGAGACAGCGAGAAATCACCCCCTGGGGTGATGGCCATGCCGCAATCCCTTCTCCTCCATTCTCCTCTCAGGATCTTGGGCACACACACACACACACACACACATACACATGCCCAGCATGAGTTTAAGCCACCGGTTCCGTAACTCAAACCACGGTCGGCTACATGGGAGTTCAGCAACATAGCCATTATGCTAACTGCTGGTCCCTGTATATTTGTTTAAATTGTAGAAGAAATTCCTCACCTTGAGAACTCATTGTTTCTCTTTTCTTGCACCTTCCGGAGTTTGTCGTCTCTCATCTCTCTCATCTTATTAAGTTTTGTCACTATGAGTAGTCAGAATTCATTATTGGACATTTTCACGAGTTTCTTTGTACTGTCTGTACATTATAAAGGGTTGTTCTTTTTTCCCTTGGGGAAGAGATATTTTCTTGGTTTCTCATATTTCTTGTGCCTCTGCAGTGCTTTCTGGTCATCTGATGAATTATACATTTCTTCCTAATTTCTTGGAGTTAAATCTGTGTGTTCAGAGGTGTATGGGAGGAGAGAATCTGCAATTTCTCTGTGATTCTGTTTCCCTGATACTCACCAGGTAACCTGAGCTTCTGACTATGGAACTGGAGGTTACAAAGGCCTCACAGTTTCTAGGGAATAGGTGCACCTGTGCTGAGCTGCAGGATTTCAACTGAGAGTTCAGAGGCATGTGGGAAGAGATGAACCACGCTCTCTATACAGCTCCATAACTTCTCGCTGCTGTTCACTCTGCAGTCTCTCTTCTCTGAATTTTAGTCATTTGGCAGTGTATTCACTTTTGGCTAATTGGTTAGAGAAGGTGTCTGCAACCGTAAGATCATGTGCTTCCCTTTACTATAAGGTACTTCTCAGAAAATTTCTGTACTCTCCTTTGCTTTGCAATGTGGCATCCACAGAAAAAGATTTTAAGTTCAGATTTATGAAGAGGAGTTTCTTCCTTTGGGCAGCAGGTTCAACAAGGGTTGAAGATTTCTATGACCCTAAAAGTATTCAGATGCTTGCCATCTGTTACTGTGCACCTATACCTGTCTAGACACTCAGTGTGTGGAGGCTAAACAGCAGTGAGAAAGTAAGGTTAAAAAAACAAAGAAACAGAAAGGAAAAATAAAACAAAGGGGAAATAAAAATAAGACAAAAACAACCAAAAAGGAAAAAAAAATTTAAAGCAAAAAATGAAAATGGTGTGGCACACTTGTGCACCATATGAACACAGTAGGACACGCCTCAGATTTAAATGGTTTCTGCAATTAGCAAGAGAAAGGAGAGGTAAGAGATGAGAAGTGTTTTTAAAACTTTTTAAAATTTTTAAAGAGATAAAGAGACAGAGACAGAGAGGAAAGAGTTTGCCCTACCTGCCTTAGTTTTGGGGATCTGGAAGATGGGCTTTAGAGCAGAGAGTCAGTCACCTTGGTCACTGAACATGGCAGGACATACCTCAGATTTAAATGGTTTCTATCTGAGTTGTGGGGGTCTGGAAGATGGGGCTTAGAGCAGAGATTCAATCACCTTGGTCCCTCACTTTTGTTTCACTTTTAGTAAGTATGTTGTATATCCATGTTGCATTTTACCGTTGTAACATCCCCACTTGTCCCTGTTGTTTATGTCTTATAGACATTTTAATATCTATATAATATTCTGTTGCATAGGGAAACTGTGGATAAGTGTGCTAAACATTTCTATTTCAAATTTTAGATTTTTTCTTATTGTTTCCACTGTACCATTCTCTATTATCAGAACTTATAGCATATTTTATCCTGACTGTATGTGACACTTTTGATATCATATCATTCAAGGCAAGCAATCTGGTAATCACATGACAGGAACAGATTCATTAAAGTTCTAATAATGTTTAAATATTAGTATCTTCTCATTTTAGTTCATTGTACTGCTGGTAACAAAAATGCCTGAGTCTGGGCAATTATAAAGATGTATTCATCTCACTGTTTTAGAGTCCCAAAGTCAGGCAGCCACATCTGGTGAGGTCTTCTTACTGGAAGGTACCATGGTAGGGGACATCACATGGCCAGACAGAGCAAGCATGGATGTCAGTGTCCATCTCATTCCCTCTCCTGATAAACTAGTAGGAATTTATTATAGGAGTCCCACAATGATGACCCTAATATCCTAAAGACCCCGCTTTATAACACCAGAGTTGGACTAAGTTTTCACTCTCTTAATTCACACTTTAAACACAGAAATTTTGGGGGTATACATTCAAACTATAGCACTTCTACAATTAGTTACTTCTGCATACAGATGTTCTTATCTCACAACAGAGGGAGATCTCTGCGATAACAGAAGAGAGAGCAAAGCAAACTTGAATTTTCAAAATCCATGATTTCCTGAAAATTATCTTCTTGAGTTCTCTCTAATTACATTAAATTTAAACCTCACAAGAAAACCACTAAGAGAGACACTAAAAGTAAAAATAGACAAATTTCTATAATCCCACATCATACACTTAGCAACATATCTTTAAATAAGAAACACCACCATCCCAACATCATGAACTTAACAACATATTTTTAGAGAGAGAGAAAAAGAAGCTTTCATTTTTTCCAATATTGTGTTTCTATTCCTAGTTACTTCTGCATACAGATGTTCTTATCTCACAACAGAGGGAGATCTCTGCGATAACAGAAGAGAGAGCAAAGCAAACTTGAATTTTCAAAATCCATGATTTCCTGAAAATTATCTTCTTGAGTTCTCTCTAATTACATTAAATTTAAACCTCACAAGAAAACCACTAAGAGAGACACTAAAAGTAAAAATAGACAAATTTCTATAATCCCACATCATACACTTAGCAACATATCTTTAAATAAGAAACACCACCATCCCAACATCATGAACTTAACAACATATTTTTAGAGAGAGAGAAAAAGAAGCTTTCATTTTTTCCAATATTGTTTTTCTTTTCCTTTTTTTTTTTTTTTTTTAACAGAACTCAAGGCAATTTATTCACGGAAAACCAGAGCTGATCTTAATAAAAGGTAACAGTTTTATTTTGGGATAAATTGGGTACAAACTCACACTAAGGAATTATATTCCAAGAGCCTCTGGAGACCTAAACAGGGAGTCAGGTAGGATAGACTGTGGAAGGCAGGTCCCCCGAAACAGGTGGGTTTAATTAGGGGGGTTATTTTGAGGGTTTTCTGGAGACCACAACCCTCCATCTCTGCCATTCACTTACTAATAGAGGAAGGAGGGGAACCAAGAGTAGATTCCTAAGTACCAAAACTACCAGAGATGAAAAAGCAAAGGCTATTGGAGCCTGGGGAGGTCTCAACTAGGGAGGATGGCAAAGAACTCATGGACAGTGCTCTTTGTTGAGAAGATGAATGAATTCTAGAAGGAAGTTACAGCGTATTCAAGAAGAGAATAAGCTCTGGCATATTCCCAAGGTCTAAATTATCAATCAGCGACAGTTCATTAAATCTTACCACAAGGCTTGGCACACACTAAACAGTTAATAAAATCTCTATGGGATGAGAATGCATGGAATGCCTTCTACGTGCCCAGCTCTGGAGAAACAGGGTAGAGGTACATAAGACTTCTGATCCCAGACCTTGTCCCTGTGTCTCATGCCTTACAATCCCTCCCCAGAGGCTGATTTCAGGACGTGGGGGACAGGGTCATTCATCTCTTCTGGTGAAGTGGGTTGACAATAGATCAAAAAAAAGCACGAAGCCAATTATGACGAGAATCAGAAAGAAATTGTAGCTCTCCTAAGTAGGGAAAAAAGAGCAGAGGGCTCCATGCAGGGCTGCCCCAACCTGGTGAATGGACCCGCACTCTTGCTCAGCATTGGTACCTTTGCTCCATGCTTTATACAGCAGAGGTTCAGCAAGGCCGGGCTGGCATATGACTCCTGCACTGAAGGTGCTGTATACATAAGAGGGGGCTTCCTGAAGACCCCTTCACCTCAGTTACTGACATCCAAAGCAAGTTGAGCAATGTGGCCTGACACAGTGAAGGTGCCCAACATTGACGTAATCAACTGAAAGGTGACAGAACAGGGCTCTGGTAGCAGACTGCCTGAATTGGCATCTCAGCTCCACTCAGCCAGCTGTGTGCAAAAGGGCAGCCACTTCATCTCCTTGTACCTCAGTTTCTCCAACTGTAAAATGGGGAGAGGAAGAGTTTCAGCCTCATGGGTTTGTGGTAAGAATGAAATGAGTATTAGCACATGGATGCAGTCAGAACAACAGCTGGTACAAGGTGCGCTCACTAAGTGCTAGGGATCCTGGCTGTTTGCCATTCTGTTCTCCAGGAACCACCACATGGAAAACTTAACATGTCTAGAACAAGAATCATGATTCCTGATCAGCTTTATCTCAAATACATGCATCTATCTAACTCCTTATTTATATTTCAGCTAAGAGGGTTTCTTTCCTAGGGCCTTACAGAGAGCCTTGAGGATGAGAGGTCCTGGGGGCCTTATTGGTGTCCATATCCTCTTTAGCTTGAGCCCCAGTGCCCGATTTAGACTTCATAGGGGCCCTGGATTTTCCTCACACAAGAGAGCTGAGAGGTTGAACTCTCCATGGACCCTTCTGGACAAGAAGAATTATGTGTGTGTGTGTGTGTGTGTGTGTGTGTGTGTGTGTGTGCATGTGTGTGTTTGCGTATGTGTGTGAAGACAGGGGAGGAGAAGGGGAGCAGGAATAGGTCAAGCACTTTAGAGTCCCTTAAAATCAGGCAGGTGCTAGTCTTTTTAAGCCTAAAGCAGCTCTTCTCCCACCTCTCCACGTATGTCACAGGTCTTCCAGGTACACAACAGGCCCTGTCCCCACTCTAAAGTGGCTACAGAAGCAGGCCTTCAATATCAACAATCCCCCAGGATCTGAGACCCAACAGCTCCTCCTTGCACCCTCTTTATTATGGACATGGAGTTGGTGCTTGGCCCAGATAAGCCAGAACTCAGATACTGCTTCTTAAAAGCCGAGACCACAGCAGAGCCCTAAATACACCCAAGAAGACTCTATAATGTCCCACCTGGAGCAGGTATGGCAGAAAGGGTGCTGGGGAAATGCACAAGAAGTAGAAATGACTGGAGCAACTAACATTATCTTAAATAAAACCCTCTATGTTTTTTGACAACTTTGACTTTTAAGTCTTTGACGAAAACTTGCATTACCTTTTTGGGTCCAGTGAATACCTGGGACAGGCATTATCTTACTAGAAAAATAAAGAAACTGAGGCCCATGGAAGTCTCCTGAGTGGCCTTGAGGCCTAGTGTGAAGCAAGAGTTGACACTTGCCTAAAGAGCTCGTTTGTGTTTGTTTGTTCTTGATGTCTGCTATCACCTGACCTAAGCCCCAAGCATCTTGCCCCTTGACAAGTGATATATCTTGATAATGCATCTGCTTTACCTCAGCTCACAGGGCCCACACAGACCAGGCCTTCCTTCTGGTCCCTCAGAAGGCACCTGTGAGATCTGCCTGTAACTCCTCCAGACACTGATGAGAGAACAGCTTTCCTGTGGCATCCAGAACAAGCAGCCACCTCCTCTCTCCCTCTGCTTCTTCACCCTAAACTTCAGACCCCTTTCCTCACTCCCTTCCCTGCCCCTACATCAGGACCCCTGACCCAGATAGAAAGCAAGACTGTCTGACTTCTCCTATGAGAACCAGAGCAAACAAGCAATGTACTGGAAGTTACTCTACTATAGTGCAAGAGCCAATATTTATGCTCAGGTCTCTGACACCAAAGTTTATGTGTTTTTCTACCAACCAAAGTCACAGTCCATTTTTTTGGACTCATGATAGAGTGTATGTGCATACATGTGAAAGTGAGAGAGAGAGAGAAAGAGATGAGCTTCTTCCACAAGATCTCGTCAAGCCACAATCCTCTTCCTCCTATCTTCTAGCCCATAAGATTTTGACTATCCATGCACATATACACACACACACACACACACACACACACACACACACACACACACACACACACACACACACACACACACACACACACACACACACACACACACACACACACACACACACAACAGAGCATGTTTCAGAGAGACCAAGCTGGGGATTCAAGCCACAGTCACCACGTGGGATTTTGAGCTACTCTTGAGCCACCTTGTCAATACCCACCTTTATGTTGGGTATTTTTGCTTGTGCTCATCTCTGGGCCAGCTGGGCCAGTTTACATGAAGTGACCTCAGGACCAAAACAACCTTCTATTTCCTTTGAATAATAGTTTCTTAATATTTAAACGCCAGAGATTCCTGAGAAAAGACCCTAAGAGGGCCAGTGTGTTGGGGTCATCTTTCCTTAAGTTGCCAGGTAGCCAGACCTGCACCTCCCAAACAGTGCCCTGACATCAGGCTCTTTGGAAACTTTCATGATGGTGGTGGTGTTTGAGGTGGGCCACCTACAGGTACAGGTCTGTGTTTGATTTTTTTTTTTTTTTGAGAGGTTTTTGCTATAGGGCACGTGCGCTTGCCAGACAGAGACAGAGACAGAAAGCGAGAAATCACCCCCAGGGGGGATGACCATGCTGCAATCCCTTCTCCTCCATTCTCCTCTCGGAATCTTGGACACGGACGCACACACGCTCGGCATGAGTTTTAAGCCACCAGGTCCGGGACGTGAACCGCAGTCGACTACATGGGAGTCCAGCAACATAGCCACTATGCTAACTGCTGGTCCGGGTCTGTGTTTGATTTTAAATTGCTGGGACATCTACTTCTTGGTATTTTTTTCACTTTGCCAGAGGCAACTGTGAGACAAGATGGGCCACTAGAAAGAGCTGACTTGTGAACCAGGAAAGAGAGAGAATGTTCTGGAACATTTGACTGTCAATTATGGCAGTCAAGCCCAGTGGCTTTTGAAGGCACTCACATATCATTTCATCATTTTTTAAAGCAACCATTGGCAACATATGTGTCTCCCTCCCAGGACACGCACGCCTATTTTCCATGACATGCAAGTTGGTCCCTATACCCTTGTGACAGCTACCATGTGTGACCAGCAGAAACCTGAAGATGCTGAACAGCCACCACCACCCCATCCTCCCAGCATGCCACAGAACTGAGTTCTAGCCTGGCATCTGTCTGAAAGTGACTAACCCTTGTGCTCCCCTCTGACAGGAACCAATCTGTTGGCACCTCTCAGGACACTTTTGCTGTCCCATCTACCTTTGCTGACTCATCTACCGTCGCTGACTCATCTACCGTCGCTGACTCATCTACCTTTGTTGCCCCACCTCCTGACTCCGAATCTGTCTTTGAGTATCCTTACACTAGTAAGGAGTTTCCCACAGCCCAGACAAGAGACCAGGCCAATCAGACGGAATGGACCTATGAGAACATCATGGGTAAGGAAAGCTGCACTCTGCTGGCCAACCCGTGGCCAGGCTATCTGGGGCCTGGGGTGGGAGGAGCGGTCTCGTAACAGTTCATTTCTGCAAAATATTGTGGCTCAAGAATTGTCTCTCATGTTCCCCATATTGCGCTCTTTTCTGTGTCATCTCTGGTATATTTTAGGTAAGGAGTTAGCTCCTCTACTAGCCCTGCTATTCCTTTCCTCCCACCTCAAAGCCCCCTCAGAGAAAGAGCATCAGCTGAAAGCTGAAACAAAAACCGATATCCTCTTCAACCTTTCCATGACTCCTCCCTGTTTCCTCATTAGTCTTTCTGTTCTTTTTCTACATGAGCACAAGCACTATTTCCCTCAGGGACACAGGCCATTTCCTTTCCAGATTGCAGACTGGTTCCCTGGGGTGATAGGCCATGCCTAGATAATCATGTGGAGAATGGCAAACGGGACATGGGCCTACATCAGACTCTAGCTATGTATGTGGTCAAAGCTGGCCCTGATTCAGCCAAATCATTGTAGAGGGAACTTTCATGGCCACAACTGAGAGATACACAGGAGAGAGTTTAGCAAGATTGCATGGCGGATCTTAATTCTCTACCCAATTAAGCCCAGAGACCCCTGACTTTAGGGTCCTGGAAAGGGAAGACTGAACAGCATTTCTTGCCATTATTAATCATTTAAATCTAGTCTTAGTGGAATCGATCCATCACTGATTCACAGATTTATTTCACATCCGTAGTCATGGCAGCAGTAAATTAGACTCCCCCGTCAGTTCACCTCCCTGCCCCTATCCATGCCTGCTAAATTCTGTAGCTCAAATGTAGTTAAATCAAATTAAGAGCCAGAAACCCTATAAGAAAGGATGGAGAGGTAGAGGACAAGTCCATGCAAGTCAGTACATGATGAGGAGTGTTTTACAGGCTTCGTTTGGATTTCTTTTAGCATATATGCTCTCATGAAGCCCTGAGAACTGGAACCATTCTGAGTCAGTAAGCATGACAGCTAGGGAAAATCTAAGCATTTCTCTAAATATTCATAAGCAGAATCCTGAAAGCCATTTACTGGGTAATCATCGGTGAAGCACCAATGTTAAGCTTGAAAGGATATGGGAGAGAAGAAGGGGGATACATAGGAAAAGGCTGGGGTGCCAGCGGTATGGAAGAGACTCAACCTATTCATACCAGTATGGACTCACCACTAGAGAGGGGCCCTACTGAAAGTATTATTTCATTTTCTCTGTTCATCCACATCCCTTTGGTCTTTCAGTTCAATTAATAGATTTAGTCCTATCTATTTAATTTAGGTTGTAAGCATCATGCATATTTGATTTGTATGGACATGTTTTGTAGCCATGTGTCCTTACAATGCAGAGTTCCTTCAGGCGAAGCATGTGTTGAGTGTTTAATTAAAGTCTGGCCACCACAGTAAATGTCCACTGATCAATACTGTGATGTTGATGGCCTGAGCCCACGATATGGACTGTGTTGGAGACAAGACAAACCCCAGTTTCTGCAGTTACTTGGGAGAGTGGTTGTTACAGCAGAGATTGGAATACAAAGAAAGCAGCAGTTCCCTAAAATATATGGAGGGAAATTTTTCTTTTCCCTTCTGCCTGGGATTTACAATCTCTCTTTCTTGTGAGCATCGATATATGACTGTGTCTGGCCAACAGAATGGAGTAAGTGTGAGAAAAAGCAAAGAATGAATAGACCTAGCAAGTCTTGGGCCTACATCACCACTAAATGCCAGGAGTATATTTATGGGCCAAATAGCTAAATTCACTACGAAGAAAACCATGGGAAGGGATGTTCCCTCTCCATGATCAGGGAAGCCAAGAGCTTATGATCCAGGCTAAGAGAAGGAGAAAGGAGAAGGCAGCAGGCCAGCCAGTCATGCTTCCTGCCATGTGACAGAATCAGCGTACTGATTCTGCAGTGGTTCTGGTTCTCAGCTCTGTCAATTCCGCACGCAGACAAAAGTCTCAAATGGACCAGGGAGCACTGGGGAAGAACATCTACCTTCCCACTCTCAGTATCACACATAGGCTGGCCACACACTTGAGGAGGTGGCAAAAGAGCAAGTGATTTCTCCAGAAGAGCAAAGTTGTAAGTGAGGAACAGGTACAAGAGGAAACCAGAAAGCATGGAGCTCCAGGAAGGTGGAGGAGCTCAAAAATTAGTTAAGAGGTAGAAAAGAGGGGCCCAGGGAAAACTATCTGTGTAGAAAAGGGAAAGCCTGGGACCAGCAGTTAGTGTAATGGCTATGTCGCTGGACTCCCACGTAGTCAACCACAGTTCGCGTCCCGGACCCAGTGGCTTAAACTCACGCCGGGCGCGTGTGCGTGCGTGCCCAAGATCCCGAGAGGAGAATGGAGGAGAAGGGATTGTGGCGTGACCATCCCCCCTGGGGGGTGATTTCTCGCTTTCTGTCTCTCTGTCTCTCTCTGTCTGTCTGGCGAGCGCACGCACCCTATAGCAAAAACATCTAAAAAAAAAGAAAAGAAAAGGAAAGAAAAGGGAAAGATTGTCCTGTGGAGGATGGATTCCTGAGTGTGGCACATGCAAAAAACAAAAAAAGCTTTCAGCCCAGGACAGAAGTCACCCATGTCACCCATCCACTTTTTGGACAATACTCGTACCCAAGGCAAAATCATCCAAAGAGCTGGTAGTGCAGGGCTGAGGGCCAGCAGGAGCAAGCAGGGGTGAGACCAGGGGTGGGCACTGAAGCCTCAGGAGGCCCTGAACTGTATGTCCTCATCAACAAGCACTTATAAAGATGCAGATTTTCAGCCCTTATCAGAATTGCTGCCCTAGCCCACCAAAATCTGCATTCTTAACAAGATCGCCAGCGTATTCTCAGGGCCAAGAATGATGGAGAACCACAGATCCTCTCACTTAAGATGAATTCCATGGGTGCTGGGCTCCTGTTTTTAAAACACTTTGTTGATGTTATGAGATTATTCAAACCCAGTAGGCCAAAATCCTCATTTTACATGACACGGCCCTTCTCGATAAATAGGACTTTGAACTGAATATGGAGGAAAAACACCCAGATAAATCCTTGAAATCTATTACTACAGAAGGTGACAGGTCTGAAATGGAAAGAATACTAAAGCACGGGAAATACCTCAGGACCCCATAGGAAGAGGCTGTCAGGAGGACGAGAGGGCTATTTATGGCCTCCTGTGTCTATCTATCCAGGCACAGAGCAGGGTTATAAACAAAGTAGACCAGAAATTCTAACACAGAGCGTTATATCCATGCTTGGGGAAGTCTGCAAGACTTAGAGCCTGGCACACAGTAAGCGCCTATAAATATTTGTTAAGTATTTGTGAAAGGGTTGTTGAGCCTTCATCTGACCAAGATCAGATCATGATAAAAGAAAAGCCATGGTAGGAAGGGGCTACAGATTGAAATAAGTACACCTGGAGACAATGTGCGTATAAAATGTGGGTAAGGGCAAACCCAGACGGAGCACACAATACTTCGTGCCACCTGCCAGATAGTCGGTAACCTCCTCAAAGTGCAAACTAGTGATTTGCACACATTTCCTTCCCATGGATTTTGAAAGAGCCCCACCAGAAGTTAAAAAGAGGGTTTTTCCCACAAGGGATGTAGGAAAATGGCGTTGAACTTTAGAAATACTCTCAGGAAAGCTGAATCCCAGGATCAACAATTGAGCAAAAAATAATAATGATAATGATTATAATACAGAGAGCAGTAAAAGACAGGAGCCCTTCTGAAATATGACTGGGGCAAAAAAAGAAGATCAAGATAGGCCACTCTTTTGTGCAGCATTGATGAACAATTCAGAGAACGTCAGATTCTTCGATTGCTGTTTAATTTTGACTTCACTGCGAAGGGAAATGATCTTTAGACTGAAAAGAATGCAACAAAATTAGGTAAGCAATAGCAGAAATCAAAGTTTGATGGAAAAAAATCAGAAGACAATGGCAACTGCTGTCTCTTGACCTAGATAAAATACGCCCTAGGATATATCTCATGTACTGAGAAAGAATAGATTAATTATGTATCTAGTTTTTAAGAAATTGTGGGAAATTGGGAAAATGACTCTGTGACCAATCTAGGGCACATGTGAAAAGCAAACGACTCCAATAAACCAGACTAAAATTAAAAAGAGAAAATAACGTAATAGTTACTTTCGGGTCACTTTTTTAATGAAGTCATTAGATCAGGGGACTGTGGGAATGTCATAGGGCCACATTTCACAAGGCATTTTCCCCCCAAAGGTTTCCTGATGTTCCTGGACAAGATAGAGAGATATTAGGTGGATGTTAGTTAGTATAAGACAATGGGGCAATAAATGATTGAGCACCACCCAAAGATATGTCTAGTGGATGAGAACCAAGCCAGCAGAGAACCACAGGGCTCTGTCCTGTGCAACATATTTATGATAGATTTGGATACAGATATAGAAGGAATCTTTGTATTTGTAGATGACCAGAAGCAGTAGGATGATGGACATAATGCAACCATATTTTAAAAGATGTTGACAGGCAGAAACATTGGACCAGTTAACTAGATTAAATATACTGGTAATTTATATTAGATCCTGCTTCAAGGCCTCCAAAACAATAGGATGGAAACGTGCAAGGTGGTGAAGTCCTGTTCATTGTTAGGTGTTTTACCCAACCACAAGCTTAATAAGTCAATAGTATACCTGATGTGACTACAAGAAAAGTTAACACAAACAAATAAAACTAAAAGATTATATCAAGGGAGATTTAGTCCTGCTCTGCCCTGCATTCCATGGCCAGCCTTGGTGTAGTATGTCTGACTTAGAGGATGCCACACCCTATGTGAACTGGAAAAAAATCGGCTGGGCTCAACTGGAGGAAAGGCCAGTTTGGGGCAGACCTGGAGACTACATCATATGAAAGACAGGTGAAGCAAGAGGGGATGTTAAATCCAGAAGATGTGTCTGAGATATGATAACTGTCTTCAGATGTTTGATGATCTGCCATACAAAACCAAGACCTGCCTCTTATCTGCACTGCAGGGCTAGAATAGGCCTATTAATGGATTCTTGGGGAAACTTTTTTTTTTAACATATTTATTTTATGAGAGAGTAAGAGAGAACACAAGAAAGAGCACATGCCCGTGAGAGATTAAGAGAGACAGAGAATGTAAGAGAGAGAAACAGAGACCAGCACCCTTGACAAGGTCTCATGACATGAGTGCCTTCCCTCAGCCCTGCAGCCGGTCAGGATCTTAGGCATGAGTGCACTGGTTTCAGACCAACTGGAGATTATGACCTGGGGCTAGTCATGTGACTTCCAGCATTGCAGATCAGTAGGCAACCGCCTATATCACCACAACTGGGCCACGAAACTGTTTTAAGAAAAGAATGTTATTCTAACAGAACTGTGCCATGGTGGGATGAGTTCTTTTTTAAACTGGAAAATTCCCTGTCTGTAGAAGTAATAAGAACTCACACTGAAGAACTAATAAGAACTGATATTGAGGTGTTCAGAGGCCTCTCCCCATAACACCACAGCCAGACTCTAGTGTTGGCACCCCCATGAGCAGATGGAGTAAATTGCTTTTTCATCATAGGCCTACTCCTCTCTACTATGAATAATGTAATGTGAGAATGTGTACATGTGTATGCATACATGTGTTAGGAGTTAGAAGAACAAAAGATAGAGGTGGGGAAGGCAAAAAGGAACAGAGATCACAAAATTCAAGATATAAACCAGGGTAACCAAGAATTTATTTATTTATTTATTTTGCAGGGGGAGAGGTTTTTTCACTATAGGTCGCATGCGCTTGCCAGACAGAGAGAGACAGAGAAACAGAAAGCGAGAAATCACCCCCCAGGGGGGATGGTCACGCCACAATCCCTTCTCCTCCATTCTCCTCTCGGGATCTTGGGCACGCACGCACACGTGCCTGGCATTAGTTTTAAGCCACCAGGTCCGGGACGCGAACCGCGGCCGACTACGTGGGAGTTCAGCGACATAGCCATTATGCTAACTGCTGGTTCCCAGGGTAACCAAGAATTTAACAGTGGTTCTTAAAAGAAAGAAAAAAAAAAAGGTGTCTCCCATTAGTAAACCTCAGCAGATCAGTACCAGCAGCCACCACATTTTCCCAGTCAGCTCTCATTACATACCCCTGGGGAATACTACGTTCTTGGGAATAAGGACACCGACTTGCTACACTGATAGGGATACACAATTGTGTGTCTACATGGCCTTGGAGCCACTTGGTGCTATGGTTCCCACAGCAGAAGAAACATCTCTATAGTCTCCCCCACTTCAACCATCCCCTATCTTGAGAACCCAATCTAGCCATAGTGACTGGTCGAGAGGGCCACAGAGGAGCTATGTTTCTTGACCTCCACTTTATTGCAGACCTAGAGTACATTACCAAAGCCAAAAAGGAGAGAGGAGGAGGGACAGAGGCTGTGTTCAATATGAGCCAGCTGTGCCTCCCACCTCAGCTTTTCCCCACTGTTGATCTGACGTGGGTGCCAAGAAAGAACCTTGGACCTCAAATGTCTCTTACAAACCTGCTGGAAAGTATGAACTTAAAACTTTTAATAGCCACCCTCTTCTGTCTCTCTCTTTTTTATTTGTTTATTCTTTATTTGCATTTACCCATTGTACATCTTTACATTGTACATGTTTTTTCTCAGCATGAATACAGTGTATATTAGTCAAGTCAAAGATATTACCATTTACATTATCATCAACAGATCATTTTTAATTTTTGTGTCTATAAAATGTTTTGCTATTTTTCCTGATCCCCTCCCTCCCACCTTGTATTACCCACAACCTCCCATACTATCTCTAGTATCTACAGTTGGCCTCCCTGATATTATACCTCCCTCTTCCGTCTTTCACAGGAGGATCTTTAAAGTCAAGAAAACCAGAGCAAGACACTTACGACATCATAGGAATTGATTCAGAAGGTATTACCTACAATGATTTTAAATGTCCTCCAGAAGTTACTAATCCATTCATGAAAGGGTAAGAAGCACAGAATTAGCTTGCCCCCAGTCAAGAAGAGTCCTCTTCTGGGGGCCGGCAAGTGGTGAGGTGGTTAAGTGCTCTGGACTCCCACATGGTCGGCTGTGGTTCGAGTCCTGGACCTGGCGGCTTGCTTTCTCACCTTCCCTCTCTTGCGCTCGCTCTCACTCTGTCCCTCCTTGGTCAAATAAATAAATAAACTTAAGTAATTCTTAAAAAAATGAAATGGCACTAACAGGTGGTGTGGTGGTTGGGGGTGCTGGACTCCCACATGGCTGACCATGGTTCGAGTCCCAGACCTGGCAGTCTGCCTTCTCACTCTCTCTGTCCCATTCTCGTCAAATTAAAATAAATGGATAAATTTTTTAAAAAAAGAAGAAGAAGAGTCCTCTTCTGACCATTTTTAGACTAGAGCAATCTTAATTAAGGTCAATGACCAAGGCTATATTTGGTACGTAATGCCAAGGCTCAATGCTTAGGTAAAGTGAGCCAATGAATCTAGTGCTTTGGCATTTTTTAAGGAGAGGAAACAATATTCATCACTGGAATTAGGAGGGAAGTTAATGGATTATCCTTATTTGGTTCACCCAGTAGCATTTGCTGTAAACCTACTCTATACTGAGTGGGATATAACGGTGGACTGAACCCATCTCACCTTCTTAAAACTTAAACTCTAATGAGCAAGATGAAATATAAACAAAGGGAAGAGAATCACTATTCATTGAACATATGCTTCAGGCCTCAAATTGTTGATATTCAAGGAAGTCTCTCATCCCTAAACACCTGGCCTCTACCTTGTGGTCCAAGTTTATAAGGACTTTTTTCATTGCCAAGGGGCTCATGCACTTACCAGAGAGGGACAGAATGTGAGAACAAGAGAGAAAAAGCACCCCCAAATGGGGTGCAGTCATACCACAATTCCTTCTACTCCATTTCTCCATTCTGTCAGGATTTCAGACATGCACGCATTTGCACCCAGCATGTTTTTGAAGCCTCCAGAGCCAGGATTTCCATGGTGGCCAGCCACATGTGAGCTGAGTATTTTGGCCACTAGGACACAGAGCCAGCCCAAGAAATGGCTTTTAAGTTAATTCTGTCAGGGAGTAAAAGGTTCTGACTAGTTCACCATACCACATCCTATTAACAATTTTTCCTATTCTTTTTCAGAAGGTGTTGTCACTGAAGCACAGACAGAGGAGAAAAGTGGTGAGAGTCCAGTATAATATATCCAAAGGTCCCTACTTTCTGCATAATGTCCTGGGCTAGGGAAAGTAGCCTAGGTAGGTGCGTCCCTTGGTCCAACTTGCACCAAGTCCTAGAGGGAACCTACAAACACACTTGACACATAGCCCCAGAACTTCCTGAAGAAGGAGTATAAAACAAAAAAGAGAGACAGGAGCTTTAAAGGGATAGGACCAGAAGTCCTTCTCTCCACTAAGAGCTCTCATATGGGAACTCTCACATTTAAAGAGTGCCCAATCTGTCGTTGGGTTCCCTGAGGACTGGGAAACAGGGCTTGAATGGGAAGCATAGGCCCCCTCATTCACTGGCACCTTAGTAGCAAATAAATTAGAAGCCCTACAAATGAAGTCCTTAAAAATTAATTAAATACTTATTAAGGGTGGGTTAAAACCTACAATTAAAACAAGAAAAGAATCATGATGGCAACAGAATCTCGACTTGCATGTACCTCTCCAAAGCAAAAGTCTTGCGATCAACTAGACAAACCCTCATTAGAAAACTAGGAAGTCGAGTCTGTTGTACTTGAGCATGAAGGATGAAGGGGTAGGGTGCAGGGATGAGGGATGAAGTCTTACATGTGCATATACCTATATTCCACCTCTATCCTCCACCTTATGACTTACAAAAAAAAAAAAAAAAGAAAAACTCTAGACTATGGAAATCACCACCCCACTGCACCCCAGGAGAGTACTGGCAAATAGAATTTTCTTCACCTTACTCCATTTCCATGGGCATTTTAGAGCAGAGCTGTTCAGTGTTTAATGTGTAGCATAATCACCCAGGGATCTTGTTTAAATACAGATTTTGATTCAGTAGCTCTGTAATTCTACATTTCCAATAAGCTCCCAGCATTCCTACTGCTGCTGTTGCTGCTGCTGCTGCTACTGCTGTTTCTGATCCATGGACCACACTTTGAGTAGCAAAGTTTTACGACAGTTTATATGTAGAGGGTCTTCAAAAAGTTAATGGAAAATGTGTACTATGAAAACCTCATGCCTTGGGACCAGCAGTTAGTGTAATGGCTATGTCGCAGGACTCCCACGTTGTCGACCGAGGTTCGCGTCCTGGACCCGGTGGCTTAAATCTCACCCCGAGCGCGTGTGCGTGCGTGTGTGCCCAAGATCCTGAGAGGAAAATGGAGGAGAAGGGATTGCGGCGTGACCATACCCCCTGGGGGGTGATTTGTCGCTTTCTGTCTCTCTGTCTCTCTCTGTCTGTCTGGCGAGCGCACACACCCTATAGCAAAAACCTCTAAAAAAAAAAAAAATAGAAAACCTCATGCCTTAATTCCATTTTTTTTCCATGAACTTTTTGAAGTCTGCTCATAGATTTGTGCCCATAGCAACTGCCAGCCCAGCCCTTGACACACCTGCCAACAATGATAAGAAATTCACTGCATGAAGGGTGGAGAAGGTGGAAAGAGGACTGAGTTTCATGTGTATGCTCATTAATCAGTGGAGCAGGGTTGTTCATTTCTCAGAAATGGCTCTTGGGATGGTCACTTACCGCATCTCCATCTTCTCATCTATTGTCAAAGAAAAAAACATTTTAAAAAATTAATTTAACAAGTGACACTTGTTAAAGCACAGTAAGGCAAACTCGTTCAGGACTACCAAGAGGGGCTGAGAGACCACTGTAGTGGAATGCCACAGTCAGGGAGAGAGATTGGGCTTACCTCCAAATACAGTGTGGGAAAGTGGGAATGATAGCCAAGGAGCAGGGTCGGGGGTCGGCACATGGAAAATTCCTGAAAGGAAGCATCAGGGATAAGGAGGATTCTGGCCGAGCTGATTTAACAGAAATCTTACTGAAGACAGGCCAAGGTGATTAGACAACATGTAGGGGATGGTGGAGTGTGGGGACCCCAGTTAGAAACTGAGAGTGGTCAGATATTGAGAGCAGGCGGTTCTTGCTAAAATTACTTAGTAGGGTTTTGCTAAAACTGGATTTCACAAAGAAGTGCACAGCTGAGGACAAAGTTCAGGAGCTTGCCCTAAGTTTGGTCAAGCAAAAAAAGAAAAAAAAAAAAAGTATCACTATGAAGTAGGGATTATCATATCTACTCCACAGGGCCAATGTACATGGTTCAAGCATCTACCCTAAATTTGGACACTCATATTCTATAAGAATAAATTAATTAATTAATTTAATTTAATTTAATTAAACTAAAGGAGAGGCACTTGGATGGAAAAGAATTAAGGTTAGTTCTTAATGAGACCAGAAGACATGCTCCACTTAGGAAACAGTGAGGACAGGCATTGACCTACATTAGCACAGGCCCTGTGAGCCACTCTTAAGTGGAGTCTTATTGTCCCCGTGCACAGATGAGAGGACCAGGGCACAAGAGGGCTGAGTGGCATGCCTGAAGCAGCCCAGGCCCCACATGGCTGGGTTCCCACTCAGACCTGGGCTGACACTCCCACCCCATTTCCCTCACCCTCCCATGAGGTGACTTGCAAGGAGATAATGATCTCACTAGAGCAGAGGCAGAGGTTGACAGAAATCCCCAAAGGGAAAGTTAATTAGGAATAAAGCTTTCCCTTCCCATTCAAGCCCAGTGATAGCTATGTTACTGCTTATTTACTGTGCTCCACTTGACACATAGACAGGGCCCATTGATGTTGATAAGCTTAATTATTATGTTGAATCGAATGCTTCTGAGCTTGCTGTTCAGTATTCAGGGCTGCCAAGTCCATCCTTTTCCCTACTTTTCCCCCCTCAAATCACCTATGTGTTATTCCATACATCCTACTAAAATACTGCAACTGTATGGGGCCAGCAGGTGGTATGGTGGTGAGGACACTGGACTCCCACATGATTGACTGTAGTTCAAGTCCCAGACCTGGTGGCTTTCTCTCTCTCTCTCTCTCTCTCTCTCTCTCTCTCTCTCACTCTGGTGAGCACACATGCCTTATAACAAATTTTTAAAACAACAACAATAATAATAAGTAAAATTAAATAAGTAATTCTTTAAAAATAAAATACTGTGACTGCAAATGATGGAGATTTGCTGAGCTATCAGGGCCAGAGCAAGACTCACTTCACCCAGGGCAGGCATACAATAAGTATCCAGCCTCTCTGCTCAGAGCAGAGTGACCTGTCTCTCAGTTCCTTAAACCTTTTGCTTCCAATTTATTCATTTCTCCTCTCTAGGGCCAGCACAAGGACCATCCTGAGGGTTTGCTTGAATCCCCATAGATTTTGTTGTTTTTTTCCTCAATGGCTTTTCAAAACTTCTCTTGGTCTTAGATTAATGTCTTTGTACTGACTGACATGCATGGCATTCCCTTTTGAAAAAGCAATGTAATACACTGTAAAGTTATATGTAATCCAATGTAATATAAAGAAGATTATGATGATAATAAAAAATTAAAAAAAAAAAAACAAAAAACTTCTCTTGGTCTTCTCCATGACAGACAGCTTGGGAACACATGTATGTTTAGAATAAGCTGAAAGCGCCCCTGCTCTTTGCCATGTTGTGGGGTAGCATGTGTGCACCTGTGGGAAGTGCTAGGGAATTCTCTGGCATGGGGTTCATCTTAGACCAGACAGAACCAACCAGGGCTGCAGAAGAAAGTCTGCAGGCCAAAAGAAAGCTGGGAAAGGATGCTTGGATTCCAGCCCTGTGTTCTCTATCCCATCAGGAGCCCAATAGGGTCAGAGTTTTTAATGCCAAACCAGAATTGACAGAGCAAAATTAAAGGTGTATGGAGATCACAGCCTATCCCCTTTCCACCTTCAGAGGCATAATGAAGACACAAAATCAAAGCCAGTCAGCCCCAGACAGCCTGATGGATTTTCAAGGCTTTCTGGATGGCCCAGCTTGAAGTGGCTGGTGTCATCCTAAGACAACAGGCCACTATCATTCCCCTGGGGGACCAATTACCTTCTGAGAGCCACTTTCTCCAAGCACTGGCCTCAGGATCTACACCTTTCCAGGAGCAGGGAAGAGAGGCTCCAGTTGTAATTATCAATTCCACAATTCAATTCACACTCTGTCACATTGGAAGCTTTAAGCCTATCTGGGAACCTGAGAGTCAGGCAGGTGGGGCCAACCTTGAGGAGCGAAAGCATTCACTGTCTCTGGTTATTTACTATGTCTTCAGCTTACTGGCTTGGGAAATTCATCTCTTAGCCTTTGATTAGCAATTATGAATCATATGCCCTTCTAGAAATTGGTGACTTTTGACAAAGCTGGTGAGAGATAGATATGCTTCTTGGGACTTTCAGCAGAAAAAAAGTACTCAAAATGATTTCCCTGAGAATAAAATCTGAAATCCTTTGTATGGCTTACAAAGTCCTCCAAGAGCTGGCTCCTGCCACTTGGTCTCCTCTCTGATCTCCCATCCTGCCATTTTTCTTGCTTCTTGCATCCTGAGTCCCTTGTGGTTTATCAAATATGCCAGAATGTCCCACCCACTCTCACCGCAGGAACTTTACATCTCCTAGTCCCTTGCCAGGAACCTCCTCCCGAACTATCTACTGGTCAACATGACCCTTACTTCATTCAGGACTCACTCAAATATCACTTCTTCAGACAGACCTTCCAGCCCCCAAAAATACATTCTCGCTATCTTAGGTCAGCCACCAAAACTGACCCCTTTATTCCTATTTTATTAGTAGTACCTCTAAGTCGAATTTTATGTAATTCAATTAATTTATTTAAAGTCTCACTAATGACATATGTATTTTTAAAAGGGCAAAGGTAAATGTCATAAATATCTATTTTTCTTTCTTTTTCCTTTGTCCCCTTTCCCAATGGCTTCCAAAATGGAAAGTCATGAAATCTGTTTCTCAAGCAAGCTTTTGGGATGACATAATAGATGATGAGCCCCTCGACAAACTGGATACTGAGGAATTTGATGAAAATGTAAGTTGAATAAAAACTTGAGATTGCATTGCTCCAAACACCGAAACAGAATGGCTCGAGGTCAACCAGGAGCTGCCTCTTAAGCCCTAAGGTTCATAGCTTCACTTTTTTGTTCCTGCAGCCCCAGTGAGCTTCTCATTAAAACAGACATAATTTTAAGGGGTACACATTAAATCAAAAAGCATCAAAAGAAAGCCAGTTGTGGCATCCCAACTTTCAGTGCCTTGTTTGTAATATGAACTAATATCCCAAGATTGCTTCCAAAGGCAGTATAGCAAGAAATAAAGCACATAAAATTATCTAGATGTCAAAGAAATCATTCTTTGCAGAAATCCTATGTAAAAATAAGCTTGAATTTTGGAAAGCTGGAGTAGTTGTACTTCTTGGATCCTTCCCACTAAGTACAGCTTAAAACTCTGGACATTATAAGAGTAACAATTATAACATGGAGAGAAGACTGCAGGTCATCTGGGACTTCGGGATCCAAGAAATAACATGGCGGTGAGTTCCCTGGGCTTCATTCATGCCTCATGTATCACAGACTGCGTGTTATGGAAGATAGCAACTCAGACCTTCCACAAGCACAGATGGAACAAAAAAAAACACCCCGAGACAAGCCCATCCTCTCTGCATGGGGCAATCTGTCAAGACAGAAAACTTTAGGAACCAGCAGTTGGCATAATGGCTATGTCACTGGACTCCCATGTAGCTGACCACAGTTTGAGTCCCGGACTTGGTGGCTTAAACTCAAGCCGGGCACTGTGCATGCATGCCCAAGATCGCCAGAGGAGAATGGAGGAGAACGGATTGTGGTATGGCCATCCCCCCTGGGGTGTGATTTCTTACTTTCTATCTCTCTGTCTTTCTCTGTCTTTCTGGTGAGAGCATGTTCCCTACAGCAAAAACCTCTCCAAAAAAAAAGACAGAAAACTTTAGACAATAACCTGTCTAATCTGGGCAAACACCTTGATAAACAGCAGCACGGAATCTCCCCCAACTTTGTACTCCTGTGATTACCACCCTTCAGAGGGACACAGAACCAGCCCTGGAGATTCAAAATGTGTCCTCTCCCACGTGTTGCCAATAACCAGAAATGGGAAGGAAAAGTCACAATAGTTTAAATAATCTTTACATATATATTATATTGTCTTTAAAGTATACATTTTTATATAGTTTTATAAATATGCAACATGAATATTCTGTCTCCTGGGACAGGCTTAATCCCTAAACTGACTTATTTCTGAGACATAGAACGCATGTTGATCTAGGTGGCTGGATTCCACATAGTTGACCTCATGGTTTGAGTCTCAGACATGTTGGCATGAAATTTATGCCAGGTGCATGTGTATGCATGCCCAAAATCCTGACAGAAAGTGGAAGAGAAGAGAGTAAGTCATGGCCATCCTCCCTAAGGGATAATTTCTTATTTTTGCTGTCTCTGTCTCTGGCAAGTGCACATACCCTATAGCAAAAACTAAAAAAAGAAAAGGGGGGGAAAGCTATAAAATAAATGTTTCAAGTCTCCACCTCTTTATCTCCCAGAAATAACTAATGTATACTATCTTATATGTATCCTGGAAATGTTCATGCATATATATACATACATATCTTTTAAAACACAAGCATATCCATACATGGGATTATAATATGCATTCTATTCTACAGCTTACTTTTCCCTTGGTAATACATATTGGAAATCTTTGGTATCCTATCATGTCCTATACCCTATCAAAGGATGTTTAAATAATTTTTAGTACTTTTAAAATATCTGTGTGTGTATATTTTACACATAATATATATTGCAGTGTATAGTCCACGCATTATTACACATGAAATGCAAATGCATCTAAAGAATAAATCCTTAGCAGTTAAATGCTAGATCCAAAGGTATCTGCATCTTTAACTCAAAAGATATTGGGAACCAGCAGTTAGTGTAATGGCTATGTCATTGCACTCCCATGTATTCGACCGCGGTTCACGTCCCAGACCCAGTGGCTTAAAATTCACGCCAGGCATGTGTGCGTGCGTGCCCAGGATCCCAAGAGGAGAATGGAGGAGAAGGGATTGTGGCGTGACCATACCCGCTGGGGGTGATTTCTCGCTTTCTGTCTCTATGTCTCTCTCTGTCTGTCTGGCGAGCGCACGCGCCCTATAACGAAAATCTCTCCAAAAAAAAAAAAGATATTGACAAGTTGTCCCCCAGATAAGTTGTGTTATTTTCCTATTCACACTCAGAAAATTTATTCTTCATCACATCATCACCCACCAAGTGTTGTAATTCTGGCCCATCTGATAGGGTGAAAATAATATCTTATTGTTGTATTTTGCATGTCCTTCATTATGAAAGATGTTGGGCATTTTTCACAGTTTGTCATTGTGTCTCTCCGTGAGTGGCCAGTTTGTGTGCTTTACGTACTCTTCTATTATTTATTTTTCCATCTGATTTGTAAGGGCTTATTATTTATTAAATAATAATTTAGTCCTTTTCTGACATACATGTTGTCATTTTCTTTCCAGTTTATTTTGTATTCCAATCTTCTTCTTGGTATTTTTTGACATGGCCATTTTAATTTTTAGGTAGTCTTGTGTATCTGTAATTTCTTTTGTGACTATTGATGTAATTTTATACGTAGGAAGGTCTCTTCATTCACAAAAAATACTTTAATAATTTTCTCATGTTTTCTCTAAGGGATCTTTTTTAAATATCTGGAATTTATTTGGGAAAAACAACATGGTTTCAAGGATCTAGCCAAAGTACCAACAATACTGATTGAGTTCTCTCCCCACTAACAGGATCAAATTTGCATTTTTAAAGGTCACTCCATGGCTTTGTGGATGTAGATTGGAATGTAAGAGTCTGGTGGAAGGAAAATGCAACACTAGTGATACAAGTGAACATATGATAAAAGTCTGGTTTCTTAGAGCAGTGCCCAGTACACGTGCCATAGCTACTAGATACTTCCTGTCTCTAGGCTGGGAAACCGAAGAGAAGACAATAACATTTGGAGGGTAACATAGAAAGTTTAGTGTAGGATATGCTGAGTTCTAAGTACCTATAAGATATCCAGATGAAATCCAGTTGAAAACTGAAAATAATCCATTTGGTTCTTAGGAGAAAGTTCCTATATGAATATTGTGATTTGGAATCTATATTAGTTTGCTGACGCTGCTATAACAAAGTGATGCCAAGTAATTGACTTAGCAGAATTTGATCATCTCATAGTTCTGGAGGTTAGAATTTTGAAATTAAGGGGTTGGCAGGATTGATTCATTCTGAGGGCTGTGAGGGAAGGATCTGGCTCAGGTGTCTGTCTCTTCTTACCGTGTAACTAGCCACCTTCTCACTATTTACAACATTTTCCTTCTATACATGTCTCTATGTCCAAATTTCCCCTTTATATAAGGACAGAAGTCATACTGAATTAGAGTCTACCTCAATAACCTTCTTGATCTAATTTGATTACCTTTATGAAGACCCTATCTCCAAACAAGGTTGAAGTACTGGGGTCAAGACTTCACCACATGAATTTGGGATAAACACAACTTAGCCCATAATAGAATTTTTAGTATATAGTTGATGCTTTAGAACTGGTGGGGTATTTTTGTCTGACTACTACAATTAGACAATCCTTCTTCCTCTAAACACATAAAAGCATGCCAGTTTCATACATGAGTCTAGGAGCTTTGGGTTCATGGTTAGTGAGGAGTAGGTAATTCAGAAAAAAAAAATGTGAGAGGAGGTGATCTGTATTGTATTTTTTAATCTAAATGTCATAGACTGGAATTGAGCACCTATGGTTAGGGTACAAATGCCAGTCACTTATGAAAACTAGTCATGATACACATTGTGAAACTCTGGACACACGCAGTCCTGCTCTAGGGTCCAGGTGACAAAGTATGGCACAGAGTTGACAGGACTTTTGCACTAACATGTCACTCTGTGGCTCAAGGGCTGGATGCTCAGGACACTGAGGCAGCATCCATGGCACATACACCAGCATTCTCGTAATAGGTTTGCAAAGCACTACTTTTCCAAGCAATTGGGTGGGTGGAAGATGTGGACAAGTAGGAGCAGAGTAGAAGAATACAGTGCATGCCAAATGTTACCAATGCAGCTGCAAAACTTGTTTGTACGAACTTCTGGGGCACATTTCGAGGGAAACCCCTGGGGTACAGCCCCAGAGGGGAGCAAAACTCTTCTTATCTGTATAGGTGCTATTAACCTAAACTTTGATTACTCTAACAACTCAACTCACTTGATGTTTTTAACTATCACAGGCTCGTTTTTAATTCAAAGACACACATACTCATCACAAACCTTGCTCTGCACATTCTTTTAATTGCAAGAACCAGAGATTGCTTAGGAAGAGTGTTTGGACATGGGAAACTTCATCAGTGGGGTGCCCAATACACCCACCATGATGACAAGGATATTTCTACTCTATAAGCTGAGCAAGCAAATGGAACAAATTCCCTAAGTTGTCACATGCGCTGGCTAAATAATAGAGTAGGGTAGCATATCCTAGATGGGATGACAACCTCAGCTAGCTCCACCCAGTTGAATCTGCTATCTGGTGGACCTGGATACTGTATTTCCTGCTGGACAAAACGTAGAGTTCAAAGGCGAGGTTGACAGATCACTGGCCCAAGGAAATAGAGAGTGGCTCGATTCAAAGGGAGGGATTGGCAACAATTTAGAGACAGAATTTAGAGACAGAAATACCAACAATGTCGACTCTAACTTCAGCCTACCCTAAGGCACAGATTTGAGCAATAAGGAAAAATAGTATTTAAAGGCCAGGAATTTGACAAGCCAGACCTAAGGTACCCCACATTTTCCCCCCACTAGAAACACAGGCCAATCACAAGCTACATTCTTGTACCTGTCCCGACCACATGCGACCTTGAATGTGTTGATCTTTCATTGACTATAGGAGGCTCGGGAGTGAAGAGCACACTATTAGCACATACTGAACAACAGCAATAACAGCCTCAACTTGTAAGTGAGCAGAGACTAGGCAGCATGACCAATCCGAGGCTTTTAACTCAGCTAACCTTCACCTTCTACCAAGAAGGATCCAAAAAAGAAATGATTTTGAGGACCCACCTGTGGGTCAGTTCTGGTAAGAGCAACATCATCACTTCGGAAGACTCTGTAAAGCAGACCTATTCACTACAATAATGTGCTAGGTGCTGCCTTGCTTCCCTGAGGACTCTCATCCTTCACACTGAATAAGCACATAACTGCTGAGAATTTGGCCATTGAAAACAGAACGCCTGCTATGCTCTTAACACACAGAAACATCTTTAGATTTTATAGCCAACTCCACATTTGGAAAAGATGATCATTTTATTTTTTTCAAAAGATTTTTTGGCATACTGATGTTTATAAAAATTCTTGAGTGAATTGGGGAACAGGAAGAGGGTATGATAATAACAGAAATACTCTGTATAAGAACTTTTGCTATCTACCCTACTGTTCCCACCGGTTGGTTGACAGGGGAGGGGGGAGGGATGTGCACATGCTTTGTTGGTTTGTTTTTTTTTATAACATGTTCACATGTCACCTGGTAGCTTTGGGAGTCAGAAAAATGATGAACTAGTAAAGCATTAATGTTCACTTTCTGGATATTTCATTCTGTGGTCCTTTTGTAGCTTCTGGGCAGCTCTTATCAAGCAGTGTTTAAGATGATTATTCAAGAAATGGCTGCTCGCAGTGAAGTAGAAGAGGACTTTGACATCCCCTCGACTAAGCTACTGGCAACTGAAAACAGAAAGAAATTGGGAATTTTGTAAGTGACTAGACAGGAGCTACTGACCATGGGTTCAGGTCAGCCAGACCTGGCAGCAGAAGTAGAAACTGGGCACAAGGGAAAAGCATTAAGTCCAAGGCCAAGAAGGTCCCTCGAGTTTAAAGTAGATACAAGCCAGACACAAGGGCAAAGATCCAGGGGTTGGGTGGACAGAATGATCCAAGATTTCAAGAGCAATGAAATCACAAGCATGAGAGACACAGGGTAGGAACAAAGGCAGGCAGTGGCAGAGGGACCACAAACATCTAGAAGCTTCAGACCCCTGGGCCTGTAAGAGAAGTGGCAATGGGACGTCAAGATCCTGAACATCTGCCCAGAAAATTCCCTGGCTTCATCCTAGCCTGGCTAATGCTTGTCTGAGCTTTCTGGAAGAGGGAAGGCCTTGAGAATCGTGGCCATATCCCCTACTTGCAGTAGAAAAGGATATAGTCATGGCAGATCCGTTGCTGACAACAGGTCTTTTTTAGTTGGCAAGGCCCCAAGACACAAAATGTTCCAGAGCTTGTTTGTATATCCATCTCGTGGTGCAGAACTTACTCAGGACATGGAAACCTGCTTTCCTTAGCCGGAGTCCAAAATCTGGCACAGCAAGGTGCCCAAGCCCGTGTGGGCCTTTGGCAACTCTCCAGCAGTGGAATAGGCTGAGGGGGACAGGGCACCCTTCTTAATCACTTTGGTGAGTTCAGACATTCACAAAAGTCAGAAAGAGACTGACTGCCAGTAACTTCTGCTGTGGTCTTAGGAGAGTCCTGGGAAAGAGATTCCTGAGGCTTCTCTAGAGAAGGGGAAGGTAAAACACAGAGAGCAAAACCCAAAGGATCCCCAGGTATTTGGATCAACAAAGACAAAGGCCAAATAACCTCTTGGTGAGTCATCCTACTACCCATGTCCCACTTCTTCCCCTTCTTCCCACTGAAGCCTATAACAGAGGTTAGTTCTAACCTGTCTGCATTCAACAAGTACTTCCTGAGCACTTCCTGTGTGCCAGCCTAAGCTCTGGGGTTACAGTAGAGTGTACCCCAAAGTCTTCCATTGAGGGACTAACTGGTGGGGATTCTACCTATTTGCAAAGATGCAAAAAGCGAAAGAAGGAATTCCCATCCTTTCCCAGGAGGGCCTTGGGTGCCCCTGGCTAGATCCCCTCTCTGGAGTTTAACTCTTGTCTGCATTTGGTATCTTGCTCTCAACCTGATGGATAGACCTCCACACCATCCTGCTCCTTAGTCTTTATTCTTTCACAGATGCCAGAAGGCTAGGTAATTGCTTCAATTTCATCAAAAGTGCTTGCCAATAAAATGAATGACATTTGGTACAAATGGGCCATGAAGTGCTCCTTCTCAAGTTCCCCTCATTGCTTCCAACGTACAACCGTGCGCTATTGCTCTCTGCGGGGTGAACTCGCTTAGCCCCTCCCAGCAAAGGGAGGGATTGTGGGGGCTGTTAATATGCTTTCTTCAAGAAATCTGAACCAAGAACTTAAAACTTGCCATGTCAAAAACTTTTCTCAGATCTGATTAAGCCTGGGAATCTCTCTTCCTGGCACATTCCCTTTCAGGGAGTTCCGATCTGAGAACCAGGTAATAGCAGCTGCCCTGGAGACCGCCCTTGTTTGGAAGTAAAATAGTTCAAGCCATTGAAATGCCAGGATGACTCACTTTGCGTATTAACATGAGACAGGGTAAAGGGCTTGATCATTTTGAAAGGCTGTAACTTAGTGTGACTTTCATGGGAAGTCATTTTTAGTGAGCTTATTTGAAAATTTCCTACTAGATGCAAAGGAGTTTCAAGAGGCTTTGTCCACTTCAGAGACAATGCTGTTTTCCATACTGTTTCCATCAAAACTCTTGCTTAGATTTAGACAAACCATAGAAAATCGAGGTGCATGCATCTAACTCATCTAACTTGTATTTTGACTTCTCTGTCCTGTCTCTAGTCACCAAGAAGATCCTCACTGAGTTTATTTTGAGAGGTTTTGAGATCAGCCAATGCACCCAGGTTGAAGGTCAGCTAGCTGTGAGGACAGAGCACAGAGTCAATACCAGGGGTCATCCCTGTCTTCCTGAGCATTGACTGGGAGGAAAGCTGGGTCAGAAAACAGAGCTATAGGTCCAACTTTCCACCAATGTCAGAGACAGCAGACTCCATACTGCCTACACTGTGGATCATGAATGTAAACATGAATTTGGTCTTGACTCTTAAAGATGATTCATGTTCTTTTCAGGTTGAAGAAAAACTTTGGAAAATACAAGGAAGCTATTCTATGGCTTATGAAGAAACGTGACAGTAAGCACTACTTTGCCATTTTCTAACCACTGGCTGTCTCTCCTTATCACTATCTCCTACCTTCTGCCGTGTACTTTCAAGAAGCAAAAATGCTCTTTCCTTCACTTGAGTACCTACTGGGCTAATAAGGTCCTACTGCCAGAGATAAAATACTGAGTGAGGCTTAAACAGCCTAGACTTATCCCTTGGTGGTAGGAGGTGAGACTAGACAAGAAAGCAGGGAATTGCTATGTAAAATCATTAAGTCTTACCATGGGAAAGGCATGCTAGGGGACCACATAGGAGGGGATCTAACCCAGATTTGTGGGGAAAAGGGGGCCCAGGAAGGCAATATTAATGCAAAATTTAGCAAAGAAATAGCTCCTTTGTCAAGAGGTTGGAGGGATTTGGAATTCAGCTATTAAGATTTCCAAATCATGGAGGTTACCAGATTTCCTAATCATGGAAACCTTGAGTTAAGGGGCTAAGTTACCAGGTTACTTAATTCAAAAACTCAAAACCACAATATGGAATAGCTATCAGATTACTAGATGTAACTAATGTAGAAATAATAATACCCATGGGAGACATAGTTAATCCATCGTGCAGCTTTTTCTCATTGAGCCAGGTCATGAGCCAGGTCATAGCCTCAGATTCCCTCACAAGACAGTGTTTCCTTCTCCCAATGCCATCTTATGTCCCTGGCCTGACTCTAGAGGGATGATTACTGCATTTCACATGTACTTTCTGATTCAAATCAATCTTCATAACCACATGTAGTAGGATAAAGAAACCAATGTTCAGAGAGGCTAAGTGACTTGTCTAAGATTACCTAGTCATTAAGTGGAAACGCCACATTCATAACAAAACCTCTCAGGCCAAATTCAAGACTATTCACTGCCGGGACCAGCTCGGCATGAACACGTTTCTCTGAGTGGGGAAGGCTGTGGATTAGAAATAGACGCAATAACAAACACACAAAGACACACAAGTAAAGAAAAACGAGGATTGGGTGGGCACAGCTTCTCTGATGGAGAAGTTGTGACCAGAACCAACCTCAGGTTTATTTTTTTAAAGGGCAGAAAATGGGGGAAGGGGGAAAATGGGTTGCAAAAGGAATGGGAAAGAAAGAAGGAAGTGGAATGCAAAGAGAATAAGGGAGGAATGCAAAGCCAGTTGTTTTTTATGTAAATCGTCTGAAGATGTGAAAATGACTGGCGCCATATAATTTCTCTGATCTTTTTGGAGGACAATCTGATAAACACATGTGACTTCCTTTAGCCCAGTACTGGGCAGTATGGGGTATTGGGTATCAACAACAGGAAGACAACCATTGACAACAGGCAGATACTGCTTTCGTATGTAGATGTTTCTCAATAGCCCTGCTAGAGTAGCTTATGGAAGTGCATTTCTGCATGTGTCTACAGGCCACATGTTTTAATCACATGTTTTCAGATTGGCTGATCTCCACAATCCACCTGGCATGTTCATGGACCAATAAAAGGCCAATGTGTTTGGAGAAAAAGCGGTGTGAGGATGGGGAGCGATGTCTAAGTCTAGGTCTAAGGTCCTCATTAGAGCCAGGGGGTAGGGAGAGGAGGAATTTCCTCCTTCAATTACCAAAATACAAAGGCTTTGCCTACCACCAGACCCACACAGTGTGGTACCCCATGAACAAGGAAGGGGATTCAGATTTTCAGCCCCACCAAAAACACAGCAAATGTTCTTTGTACTTACTATGTCATGCTTTCTACTGCTTGTGTTCTCTTCCCTTTCGACCATAAATGCCCGCATCCTTTTAACTGGACACTTTAGCAAGGCACACAGTAGGCACTCACTGAGTGTTTCTTGAATGGATGCATGGTTTTCCTCGCCTTGGAGGAAAGAAAGGCCTTTGATGACCCTCTACTGCCATATGCCCAAAGTAGGACTTCCAGCTGGAAAATAAAATTTGTTAAAAAGCCAGTGGCCACATTCCCCTTACCTCTCCCACAACCACCCCACCTACTCCCTACATCTCTGGACAATTAAAGTCTAATAGACTTGAACTTTTTATAAAGAAACATAATATTCTAGGCCACTCAGAGCTCTCTAACTGACTTCCCTCTAACCTGGCTAGACTCGCAGGACTCTAAGGTGTTGGACTCACAAATGGCTGATTGCAGTTCGAGTCTCAGACCTGGCAACTTGAAACGCACCGGGCACATGTGCCTGTGTCCCCAAAAGCCCAAGAGGCATATGGAAGAGAAGGGATTGTAGGGTGGGCATCATCCCAGGGAGTGATTTCTCCCTTTCAGTCTCTCTCTGTCTCTCCAGCGAGCTTCCATGCCCTATGGCAAAAAAATCTCAAGAACTAAAAGAAAAAACTGCTTTGAATTAGATGTGAAGCAAACATACAAAAAGATTGGGAGATGGTGCCAATCCCATGACCCTGTGGTTAAGAAAGCTGGATCCCACATCTTCAACCCCACAATTGAAATCCCATCCCCAGTAGCTTGAAAAGCATGATAGGTACCAGTTATATTTCAGAAGGGCTCCCATCTTTTACTGCTGCCTATATTATAATCATTATCATTATAATTTTTTGCTAAATTGTTGATCCTGAAAGGATAGAGAAATAGAGAAGGTATTGTAGTGTTACTGAACCCCATTGAGGGGGGTACGTTCTCTCTCTCCCTTTCTCTGTCTTTCTGTATCTTTCTGATGAATGCACATACCCTTCAGTTTATAAACCCCCTCAAAACAATTGGGAAGTGTATTGAATGTATATACTATAGTATGTAGGTCCTTCCCTAATAAATTAGAATTCATGTAAAAACATCAATAACACGGTGAATGTATAAATAAACTGGAGTACATTCATACAATGGAATATTACTTACCCCTAAAATAAAAGAGCTATCAAACTAGAAAAAAAAGCAGTGAGTAACCTTAAGTGAATATTAGTAAATATTATTAAATGAAAGTAGCCAATCTTAAGCCAATCTGTGTGTGTGTGTATATATATATATATATACATGTGTGTATATATATATACATGTGTGTATATATACACACACACACACACACACACACATACACATATATATATGATTCTGTATTCAGATAAGTTAGAAACTGTCAAAAATTTTAAGTAATAGGAGCCAGCAAGTAGCTTGGTGGTTAAAGTGCTGGACTCCAGTTCAAATTCTGGACCTGGCAGCTTGGAAGTCCCACTAGGTGCATGTGCACATGAGCCCATGTCTCAAGAGGAGAATAGAGAAGGAATTGCGGCATGACCATCAACCGTGGGGGTGATTTCTCACTTTCCCTTTCACTGTCTCTCTCTCTCTCTTTCATTCTAGTGAGCACATGTACCCTATGGCAAAACCTTAAAAAAGAGAGAGAGAGAGAACAAAAATTAAAATAATAAATAATGAACTATGGGTATATATGAAAAAAAAAAATGATCGCACGACTTAACCCCCATCATCAGACCTACATTCAAAGGAAAAACCTTCCCTTACATTTTCTTTTTACCATGCCAGAGAGAAAGAAAAAGCAAGAAAATCCCCCCTTCCCCAAAGGGCATAGTCAAATCACAAGCCCATCTCCATTTCTTCTTTCGGGATTTTGGGTGCACACACATGCATACACGTGGTGAGTTTTTCAAGCTGCCAGGTCCAGGACTTGAACCACACAATCAACTATGTGGGATCCAACCACCTAATTACCACACCATGGGTGGACCCATTGCCCTATGCTTTAAGTGGGATGTTAATATGCATTTATGTTTTAACTTAAAGCAACATGTTTAAGGCATGTTTCCTTTTTCTGACCCTCAGCTTAGCCTATCTTTGCAATTAGTAGCCGTTCTTCCTGTTGAATGAGCGCTCCATACTGTAGTTGGTATATTACTCCACATCTCGATCATCATACACAGCATTAAGCACTGAGCTGGCACACAGCAGGCCCTTGGTAAATATGTGTTGAGTAAATGATTTATAAACAACAACAAACAGAGCTGTCATTTCAATCCTTATGTTTCTTGCTTCCAAGGCCTTGTTTTTTCTACGACCGGCAGCCTTTCTTTCTTGGGGAAAAATGGCTGACCTCTCAAATCCTCAGGCTCCCTTTCATGCCTTGAGAGAGCTAATTCTAAGTTTTCTTTCTCTTTTCCACCAGAAGCTTATTCAATTTCATCCCTAATTGGCAGGTCACAGGACGACAGATATGTCCTCCACTGTTACATTTCATTTATTGACTCAACCACCAGAAGAACAGAAGTCTGAGACAGAAGAAATCACAAAGCCTCGTCGCCGTATTGCTCGTCCTAAGAAGAAAACAGAAAAATTAGAAGTAGATATGGAATGGATAAATAAAAAGACAAAGGTAAGTGTGGTGGGGCATTGGTGTTTTTCCTTTGCGTAGAATCTGTATACAATATGAATTCAAATAAGAAAAACGTGCCCAGTATGTAGAGGTACAGCTGAGTGTGGAGATTACTGGCAGATTAACTAGGTATTTTACTAAAATATATTGGGAATCTTCTACCTTCAGGGCCTATAAGAGGCAACTAAATAGGTGTAAGAAGAATAAAGGAAATAAATACTATAGGATATAGGTTCCTCCTTAATAAATTAGAATGCATGTAAAAAAATGATTTATATGATGATTTATACAATCACATGGTGAATGTATAAATAAATTGCAGTACATTCATACAATGGAATATTACTTACCACCAAAAAGAAATGAGCTGTCTAACCAGAAAAAAACACTCAATAACCTTAAGTGAACATTATTAAATGAAAGAAGCAAATTTTAAAAGGCTACATATGAGTGCCAACAATGGTACAACAGGAACTCTGATGTTCTGTGAGGAAATCCACATGAGAAGATTCTCAGTCTGTGTACAGAGACCTCCGTGAGTATCCCAGGAACACATATACCCATGACCAGGGCTGGCTAAAGGCTGGGGGTGGATTGTGGCATCAGGACTCTGCTAGGAGTACTGTCTCTCTCTCTCTCTCTCTCTCTCTCTCTCTCTCTATTTCTCTTGCTCAGGAAAGAAAGAAATTAACTTTTTTTTGGGGGGGAGGTTTTTGCTATAGGGTGTGTGCATTTGCCAGAAAGACAGAGAGAGACAGAAAGTAAGAAATCACCCCCCAGGGGAGATGGCCACGCCACAATCCCTTCTCCATTCTCCTCTTGGGTTCTTGGGCATGCATGCACACACACCCGGCATGACTTTAAGCCATCAGGTCCGTGACTTGAGCCACGATCAACTGTGTGGGAATCTAGTGACATAACCATTATGCCATCTGTTGGTCCCGAAAAAAATAAACTTTAAAAAAATAAATAAATAAGACTATGTACTATACGATCCCAAACAAGAAAAGGCCAAACTATGGAAACAATGAAAGGATCAGCGATTGCCAGGGATTCATGGGGAAGGAAGGATGAATAGGTGGAGCACAGAGAGTTTTTAGGGCAATGAAACTATTCTGCCTGACACCGTAATGGTGAATACCTGTCATTACACATTTGTCAAAACTCACCGAAGGTACACCACCAAGAGTGAACCCAAATGTAAACCGTGGGTTTGGGAAGATGGTGTAGGTTCATTACTTGTAGCAAATGTTCCACCCTGGTGGGAAATGTTGATAGCTGTGGAGGTTGCACATGTGTGGAGCAGGGGTTATGTGGGAATCTGTACTTCCCACTCAATTTGCTGTGATTGCTCTAAAAAATGGAAGCTATTAAAAAATCAATCACATGGTATATTTATAAAGACTAATGCCATAAAATCATATGAAAACTGGTCTCGACATGTTAGCATCATTGCGAGTAAGCTAATGACACTGTCTGAAGCTCAGAACAGAGGCATTAATGTGGCAAATATGCAATGTGATAGACATTATGCCTTCAGTAAATATGTGCCTATAACACACTTTACCCCAGGCTCCCCTCTACGTGCCGGAAATACAGGCATAAACAAAACAAAGCTTTTGTTCTCATGGAGCTTATGTTCCCATGGAGAACCCTTCTAAAAATAAGGGCTCCTCCCCTAATAAATTGGAATTCACATAAAAAAAATCTTACAAAAGATTTATAGAAAGCTTACTTATAAAAAAGTACTATTTAATGCTTGGTCAACTGTCATTAGATGCCATGAGAAAAAAGCTGTGTAAGAGACCTTGCATTCATTGAACTGAGAGAACAGCAATCAGAAGGCTGGTTGGGCCAAGTGCCATTAAGACCAAATAGATAGCTGTGAGCGAGTGAAAGAGGAGCAGGGAATTTATCTTGGGTGCCCAGGTCAAGTAGAGCTATTGTCTCAAGGACACAAAGCTTGTATTAGGATAATGCTTGTTAGCTGCTGAGATAAATGCTTCCCATTGCCTAATTAAGCCAAGTGGTTTAATAAATAGTCACGTAGTTGTTGCTCCTGTCGTGTCTATTTTGAGCCTTGTGGCTCTACTGAGCGGCTCTGCTCCCAAGTGGGTCTGGGTTCTAGGCCTTTCATCATGAGTCTCTACCATCTTGGAGTTCTTTGGGTATAGATGAAAGCACAGAAAGTGAAAGCCAGGGTCCAGACTTAATGCCATTGACCAGAGTGAGTCAATATGACCTCAGCCAGCTGCAAGAGGCTGGGAAAGGTAGTCCTGCTGTGTGTCAAGGGGGTAACGAAACAGTTTGCTCTAAGAGGAAAGGCGACCCAACATCTTACTGTGATGAGGTGGCTTTGTTTGTGGCAAAGGTGGAAGAAAATAAGAAACTGACACTGTTAATCAAGATGTAGACTCCTGTGGCCTCCAGACAGGGAACAGGAAGTGTGGTACCCCTTCACTCCTGTGCCTGCGCATTAATGAAAATCCATGGGACCAGTCAGAACCCCTAAGGACAGAAGGGTTTATAGTGCCTATAACACACTATAACCCAGGCTCTCCTCTAGGTGCCGGAAATACAGGAGTAAACAAAACAAAGTCTTTGTTCTCATGGAGCACACGTTGCAATGGAGAACCCTTATAAAAATAAAGGCTCCTCCTCTAATAAATTGGAATTCATATAAAAAATCTTACAAAAGATTTATATAAGTCTTACTTATAAAAAGGTACTATCCTAGGTCAATTGTCATTAGATGCCATGAGAAAAATGCTGCATAAGGGTTTTAACAGACAATGCTGTAGGTTTTGTTAAGGCCACATTTAGGATCTTCAGCATTCTCTTCCAACAAATTAAAGAAGGCTTTCTTGGTTTCTCAATCCAATTAGAGTAGTTAACTCCATATTCTTCCCACACTCCATGGTCTGTCCTGCCTGAGAGCTTTTACTCCTGCTGCATGTGCCCCCCACCAGCTTAAATGTCCTCCCCACAGCAAAAGAAAAGTTCTCACCAAGATCTTTGAGCAGAGGATCCTTCCTAACCCATCCTTCAGATTGGGAAGCACCAGCGAGCTGTGACCGGGAGTGGGACATTTGTTTGTCTTGGTGTGTTTGTTTTACAAATGGGCAATAAATTTCCAAGTCCTTAGCTAAGTCAAGTAGCGCTGTTTATAATCCAGCCCCACAGCCCAGGGTCCAACAGCCCCACAGCAGCCAAGGAGCACTTAGATGCAGCTCCCCCACAGCACAGGTCCTTGCTGTGAGCCAGTGTAGGCAGAAGGAACGATCAGAGACACAGCGGGGGACCAACAGTTAGTGTAACGGCTATGTCACTGGACTCCTATGTGGTCAAACGAGGTTCGAGGCCCCGACCCAGTGGCTTAAACTCACACCGGGCACGTGTGCGTGCATTCCCAAGATCCTGAGAGAAGAGTGGAGGAGAAGGGATTGCGGCGCGGCCATCCCCCCTGGGGGGTGATTTCTCACTTTCTGTCTCTGTCTTTCTGGTGAGTGCACTCGCCCTGTAGCAAAAAAAATCTCTCAAAAAAATAAAATTAAATTAAAAAAAGAGAGAGAGAGAGAGACAGTGGCTTTTTTCTTAATCATTAGTTCGTAGCCTCATACTAGGTCCCCAAGCAAATGGTGATGAGTTTCAGACTTTTAAAATGGCCATTTATTTTATATTAGGTCATCAGGAAAGTCATGAGGTATTTTTCTGTTTTTCTGTGCAAAAATGCGGCATGACTTTCCCAGAGACCCAGTATTTCCCAGTGAGAGAAAATGTGCCAACTCCACCTTTGCAACAGAGATTTTGCTCTGCCCCGGGTCCTTATCATAAAAAAATAAATTAATACATATCATTACATGACAAGCAAATTTAACAAGACACCCTCTCAAGAAGAAAAGCTCTCAAGAAAGTCTGTCTTTGGGTGGCTTTTAAAAATAGAACCTGAAATACAAATAAATGCTTTCATAAGAAATACATAGATACTGCCTATAGGGCACCAGGACAGACCTAACATAGGCGTCTTTACTAAGCACTTTTTAACCTAAGTATCCATCAAAAGATGAATCCATTTAAAAATGTGATATATATGCCCAGTGGAATACTACTCAGATTTTAAAAAGAAGGCAATCTGACATTGCACAACATAGATAAACATGGAGGACATTGCTAGGCACGGAAGAAAATATCCACATCATCTCACTTACATGTGAAATCTAAAAATGTTGACGTCACAAAAGCAGAGAGTAGCCAGAGACTTGGGAGGAAGGGGAATGGGAAGATATTGCTCACAGAATAAGCAATTTCGGTTAAACAGGAGTAAATTCAAGAGCTCTGTTGTACATTCTGGTGTCTAGAGTTAAAAATAATATTTGTATACTTGAAAATTACTGAGAGAGATTTTAAGTGTTCTCACCACAAAACAGTAAGGATGCAAGGCGATGCGTAACTTAAATAGCGTCATTAGCCATTCCATAGTGTTACATATAGCAAAACATCATGCTAAATATCATAAATAAGTACGGTTTTTAGTTGCCAATAAAATTAATTAAAAAAAAAAGTACTTTTCTGGATTTAAAAACAAAAACAAAGATAAGAGCAGTGATTTGTAGACTAAATGTTGGTGGTGACCAGAAGCTTAATGATTGATGGTAGCGTCATGTGCAGCTCAGGGACCAGATTGCTAAAGTCTGACCCTTTGCTTACTTGGGGCTAATGATATTTCTTACTTTGTAGGGTCCTTGTATTGTAGAAGCAAAGATATTTCTAGTAAAGTGTTCGGTATAAGAGGGAGCGTTTAGATTTGTCATGTAATCATCATCAGGTCTTGATGTCACCCTCCACCAGCCTCCACCCCAGGCTCCTGGATATTTAAAGGCAGTGCCTATGGCCCCCTCAGGCAGCTTCTCCTCAAAGAAGGCCTCATGTCTTTATCTTACCTTGGATTTTGGCACTGTGGTGTAATCTTTCTTTGAACAAAGGATTCTTCAACTGTTCAC